GCATTTGATCAATAAAAGGAAGGGGAAAGTGGTCTTTTCTGGTAGCTTTATTAAGCTTTCTATAGTCCATGCACACTCTCCATGAATTGTTCAGCCTTGTTGGGATTAGCTCCTGGAGGTCATTCTTTATCACTGTGATTCCTCCGTTCTTGGGCACGCACTGCACTGGACTCACCCACTTGCTGTCAGAGATTGGAAAGATAATCCCTGCATCCAGCAGCTTGATAATCTCCTTTTTCACCACTTCCTTCATGACTGGGTTGAGTCTTCTTTGTCCTTCAATGGTTGGCTTGGCATCATCTTCAAGCAGGATTTTGTGCATGCATATGGAGGGGCTGATGCCCTTAATGTCAGCAATTGACCACCCAATGGCTTCTTTGTGCAATCTCAGTACTCTCAACAATCTGTCCTCTTCAGTACCTGTAAGCATAGAAGAAATGATTACAGGTAAGGTGTTTCTTGCTCCAATATAGGCGTACTTCAAATGTGAGGGCAAAGGATTAAGTTCGAGATGAGGTGGTTCTTCAATTGAAGGTTTGAGGCATCTCCTTCCTTGGTCGGGTTTATCGGTTCAAAGGGTTGCTGTGTAGGATGCCACTTGGGGAGTGGTTCGGGTAGCTCTGCAAGTGGCCCCGTACTCATCCCCTCCTTCCTGTTCCTCATTATAATCTGGGCACCAAAGTTCCTTGAGGAGATCGTCTTGCAGTAACTCTTCCGTCACTGCTTCCTCTGCTTCTACATCTCTTACCATGTAGCAGTCGTGGACTTCAGCGGGATATCTCATATTTTTGAAGATGTTGAAGGTGACCTTCTCCCCATCAAAGTGCAGTGTGATTTCTCCCTTTTCACCTTAATGATTGCATCGCTTGTTGCCAGAAAAGGTCTCCCCAAGATGATGGGTACATTCCTGTCTTCTTCCATGTCCAAAACCACAAAATCGGCTAGGTAAACAAAGTTACCAACTTTCACAAGAACATCATGTAAGATTCCTTTTGGGTAAGTCAGAGATCTGTCTGCCAACTGCAGGGTCATGTTAGTGGGTACCAGAAATTTGTCCAGATCAAGGGATTTAAATACAGACAATGGCATGAGATTTATGCTTGCACCAAGATCTAGTAATGCTTTTGAAAATTCTCTGATTCCTACAGTGCAAGGAAGAGTGAAACTACCCGGATCTTTTAGCTTAGGTGGTAATTTTCTCAGGATAGCTGCACTACATTCTTCATTTAGAGTGACAAAAGTAGAGTTATGCATTTGTGGCTTATTCGCTACCAAATCCTTCAAGTACTTGAAGTATTTGGGCATTTGTTTCAGTGCATCAACAAGCGGTACATTAATATGTATACTTTCTAAATTCTGAATGAACCTGTTGAGTCCTTCATCCATTTTCGCCTTCTTCTGTCTTACTGGATATGGTGGCGTTGGAGCTGGCTGTGGTGGTTCCTGAATTGGTGCTGGAAATTGAATTCCCTCCATTCCAGGTTTTTCAGCGGTTTGCTCCTGTTCAACCATATCATCATTATCAGATATTTGCTCAGAAGAAGTTTCATTCTTACCTGCAGGGTCACTCGCAGGAGTGACTTCTTCACTTGGCTGATTGAGTTGCTTTCCACTTCGGAGGGTGACAGCCTTTGCTTGCTTTTGGTCATTCCCCTTGGGGTTCACAATTGTGTCACTCGGCAGGCTCCCAGATGGTCTTTCAGCATTTTGTTTTGCAATCTGGGCCAACTAATTTTCCAAACTCTTGCAAGACACCGCGAAACTCTTGATTGCATTTTGTACAGAAATCCATTCATCTTCCCTTGGTATGCATTGTTGGTTAGAACGTTGCTGATTCTGATAGTTGGGAAGCTGACCGTCTTGTCTGTGGAATCCTGGGGGTTGAGCAGGCCTTTGATAATTTCCTTGTTGTGGAGCATTGTTCCAGTTGGTCTGTTGTTGATTTCTCCAATTGTTGAAGTTGTTGAATCCCCCTGCATTGCCCTGTCTGACAAATTGGACAGCTTCCATTTTGGAAGGGCAGTCATCCAAACTGTGGGATCCATCGCATAATACACATACTTCTGCCTTGGATTTGGACAGCTCACTTCTGAGCTTAGTCATTTCGTTCATCATAACAGCCATTTGAGCTTGCAGATGTGTACTGGGATCTAGTTCCATCATCCCTGGCTGTTTTGAAATTGCCCTTGGATCAGATTGCCATCTTGAATGGTTGGTGGTCATATTGTCGAGCAATTGCCTTGCTGCATCAACTGGCTTCATCATAAATACACCACCAGCTGCAGCATCAAGGGAGTCTCTTGTAGTTGGTAGTAGACCATTGTAGAAGATGCTCAGTTGAAGATGCTCTTCCAAACCATGCTGAGGGCATTTTCTGACCATTTCTTTCAATCTTTCCCATGCTTCATAAAGCGTTTCTGTTCCATGCTGCTTGAAGTTCATTATTGCTGTTCTGAGTTGTGCAGCTTTTGCGGGTGGAAAGAATTTTTTTAGGAAACACTGCCTTAACTCTTCCCAAGTGGAAATAGAGTTGTTGGGTAATGTGTTGAACCATGCTTGGGCTTGATCCTGCAATGTAAAAGGGAATAGTCTCAGTCTAATGTCATCATTAGATAAGCCTTGAATTTTAAAAGTACTGCATAAACGTAGAAAACTTCGGATGTGATCATTAGGATCTTCATGAGGTAATCCATGGAATGGGCAGGCTGATTCAGTCCATTGGATCATCTGTGGCTTGAGCTCAAAATTGGTTGCTTCTACATCAGGGAACACTAAAGGAGATTGGACTTCTTCTTGCTGTGGGATTAAGAAATCTCTAAGCAGTCTTTCTGGTCGGTTTTGTTGATCCCCACCAGGGTTCCTATTGTTCTCCGGATTGCCACCTTGGTTAGCCATTTCAGATGAACCTTCTTGGTTGTCCTGTTGCACCCGGTTCTGCCTTCTTCTTGCCACTCTGGTTCTACGGATGGTAGCTTCAATTTCTGGGTCAAAAACGGGTTCACTTCGTTGGTGCCTTCTAGTCATACACCAAAGAAAAGAAATTGGAAGCTGAGTGAGGTAACCAGAGAAGAATTTTTATATATATACACACAAACAAAAACAACAAATTTTTGGAGGTTTTACGCCGTCCCCGGCAACGACGCCACTTTCTGGTGCTTGCCGAGTTCACCAAAAAAAAGATAAATATTACTAGCTTGGATTATGAGTTTTGTAGATAATAGAAGCTAGGTCGATCCCACGAGGACAGCTAATTACCAAATTTGTTGTAAAGAAAAACTGTCAGTCAACAAGGTGTCACTCAGGAGAATGGAAACAGTCACTCAGGGGAATGGAGGCCAGGGGTGTTCTTCTCCTCTTCCTACTGTTGTAGTTGTTTTATTAGCACTGTAATGGTTGAGTTTTTGTTCATTCAGCTCACTTATAACTCTAAGTCAGTTCCCATTTTTTCCTAGAGTCATCTTTGCACCCTTAACAACCTATTTTCCAATGATTGTTTCCGGCTACAAAGTCATTAAGTTCTTAGGCCTTCAAGAATGCTTATGTTAACTAAGTATATTCCTATCTTAGTTAAAACCATAGACTGTTACCTCTATGTCATAAGTTAAAGTTGAAACAATCCAAACCAAGTTTATCCTTCCAGATCTCCCTTAGTTCTAGCATGCATTCAATTTAGTGATCAAGTAAATGAATGTAGAAAAACTTTCAACCATAAAACAAGGAACAAAACCAGTGCTTTGACAACTACAACATCAGTTGAGGAGAATAACCCCTGGGAACTGTTTAGCTACTCATACAGATTAATGCTACATCTACTATATCGAAAGACATCATAGAAGTATGCATAGTAAACAGAATTCAAGCTAACAGTCAAAAAATGAGGAGAAAGCTTGTGCAGTTTCTGAGTCACTCCTGGGAGTGAAGGGGTTCACTCGTGGAACTGAAGGAGAAACTGGGTTGCTATTCTTCAACTTCGCTTCCTCACTGAGTTGTTGCTGCTTCTTCTTCTTTCTTGTCTTCTACCTAGAGTTTTTCTGAGTGTTTTTGCAACTAAGAAGCTAACCAGAGACTGAGAGATATCCCCCCCTTTTGTGAGAGTGCAGCTCCCTTCTTTATAGTGCCTTGCAACCGGTGTCTTCATCATGAGAACCTCCCCATGCTTGGAGTTGTTTAATCCTCCCAATGTCTTGAGCCTGCAATCCACTTGGCCGTTCCTTTTCTTTCTTCCAGCAGTAGCCGCTTTGCTCTCATTGATCAGCAGTGGTGGCTGGGATTGCGGCTGGGGGACAGCATGCTCTAGGAGGAAGCAAGGTTATTAATGACAAGATGCTTCTTGTCTAAGAGCCTTCTCTTTCGTCCAGCTCAGCAATCTTGCCTCAGCAGCCCATAATTTGCTCCTTTGGCTTCCAATTTTCAGCAATTATTCAGTCTGGTCCTTTCCTAACAATAACATGAAAATGAGCTAAGTAATTTGCATCAATGTTAGGAAATACCCCCAATTGTTCATCAAATATAAAGTTAAGTGTGATGCTTTTATGTAACAATTTAACCGTTATCACTGGGGAGACATAATCGGACGGTAAAACGCTTGTTGGGTCGGCGAAGAATGATGTGGAGACTGATGGGCTGAATGCTGTCGAGAATGGAGTGGAGACTGATGTGGAGACTGATGGGATGAACCGCCAGTGAAGGGAATATGAGACTGCTCATGCTGGGAGGACTGATGTGGCTGAGATGATGTGATTGTCTCTTGCCCCCCACGCCCACGCTGAGACCTGCGCAAACGCCTCGGAGGTCTGAGTGGTGGATGTTGTTGGGTCGGGTCTACAGGTGCAAGTTCTTGACTCAAAATGTCATTAATCTCAACATGCCTATCGAGATCGTGACGTACAACATTTGTTGCATTCACGGACAACGCCCGCTCAGCAACCTGGGCAATCTCGCCTAAGCGATCATAACCAAAGGAGTCCGCGTCGAAAGTACGTTCGCCTATAATACTCAGACTACGAACGTCCTCCATCAATGTGGCCTGAAATTTTTATTAGAAAGAATCATAAATCGACAACAGTGTTAATAAAAAGAACCAAATGGACTGTAGGCGAAATACTCACCATGAGGCGCAAGGTCTCTGCAGAGCCGTGAAAACCCCTCGCATTTTCAGAGTCCGTCGGATCCGTAACATACTTCACAGTAACCTGATGGTACCACAAGAGATACTCCGGATCTGCGAAAGGCTCGCCAACATAATCATCATTAGTCCCCACAAGTCGGCCGTGGCGTTCATTCCAAACCTGGAGATATATCCCTAGTTGTTATAACCATCTCCTATCGGATCCTCCAAACGGCTTCCTCTTGAGCAGGCTAGTAATTTCCGCCGCAGTGAGAAGTAATGCGTCACCGGGAATCCGCTGGTGATAACCAAATTGGCGAAATACCCTACTGGGGTTGTGTGGCGCAACAACATCACCGCAGATGAGCCATGTCTGAGATCGCCATATGCCCTGTCCCACAAGACGGCAATACGACCCAGAAGAGTCGTGTACGGCATCCATACAAACTACAATGGTAATTAAGTAAGAGACGCGTAATTAAAAGTCCGGCACCGTTAAAAAAAACGAATAAAACATAAGTTATACTAATTGAATAGAATACTAACATCAGACTCTGCGAGAACTGCAAGCTGATCCCGGTACGCGGCCAAATTGAACCGCGTGATACCTTGAACTTTTTTCTCACGGGACCACCTACACGGAGAAAGTAACATTAAATTGAGACATGACAGTACAAATCAAAATGTCAAAATTTACGAAGGTTTGATGTATAAGATTACCTCGTGCCCAATGGACAATGAGATAGATCGAGCTCCCCACCCAGTATCTTGGGCTGAACCGTCAAAATCCGCTCCCAGGCCCAGAGCTAATTCAGAATGGAGAAATCATTAGCTAAAATCACCAATAATTATGGGAGAATATAAAATGAAACTAGAGAGAAATGAAAAGATAAAATACCTGAAGAAGAATCACACAGCCGGTAATAGCCTTGGCAGAAGCGGCCAGAGATGACTTCGACATGCTGCGGTACAAGTAACATAGTGCCGCACTACCCCAACTGTACTCCGAGCAAATCTCGGGAGTATGAAGAAAATGCACAAGATCGAGAGGAAAACTGTTTCTCGTAGTGTTTGAGAACAGTAATCCGCCAACGAGCCATCCAACAAAACAACGGGCTCGCTGTAGGTGTGCATCGTCAGGGGACAGGTCCGTCAAAGGATTATTCTCTATGTGAGTCTTTATTTCAGTGATGGAAACGCTCGTCAATCTAGACTCCTCTGTCTGGAACCTAAATCCAAACATCCTCTCCAAATAGGCTGCCCAACCACCATCAGGCGTGGTGTGATGTCCTGTAACTGGACGTCCATCAACCCGAAGACCCAAAAGAACCTCGACGTCCTGGAGTGTGATAGTAGCCTCCCCAAAAGGTAAATGAAATGTATGGGTCTCTGGGCGCCATCGCTCCACAAGAGCTGTAAGCAGGGCATGGTCACATCTTATGGACCTAACTCTAGAGAACGGTCCAAAACCAAATTTCTCAATATATTCCTTTGTCAACCTCGGTGCATCTTTTATTAATTTCCACGCGGCGCTATCTACGCGCCTGGGCTCCGAAATCCCTATATCATACTGTGCACCATGGAATATATTGTGTGACCTATGGGCGTTTTGGAGAAACAACAAACTACTGTCTCTGGGTCCCTGCCGTAACTTCTTTGAGGTAGATTGGGAGGAAGAAGATGATCTAATGTCCATGGCTAGTACAATTTACAAATAATTTTAGTAAGTACAGATTAATATTAATTATCCTTTTTTATTATCCTATACATTAAAAAATCTAACCCTACATTTTAGTAAATACGGATTAATATTATTATTCTTTTTCATTATCCTATACATTAAAAATTTCAACCTTATATTTTAGTAAATACGGATTAATATTATTATTCTTTTTTATTATCCTATACATTAAAAATTCCAACCTTACATTTTAGTAAATACGGATTAATATTATTATTCTAATCTAATTATCCTATACATTAAAAATTTCAACCCTACATTTTAGTAAATACGGATTAATATTATTATTCTAATCTAATTATCCTATACATTAAAAATTCCAACCCTAAATTTTATTATCCTAAACCCACTCCTGTAAACCCAACCCAATCCCCAACTTCTAAACCCAACCCAATCCCCAACCCAAAACCCATATTCTAAACCCAACCCAATCCCCGAAACCCTAAACCCCCTAAGCCCAACACCCCACAAACCCTAAGCCCAACCCTAAACCTACCCCCTCTACACCCCCTGCATTCCCCCGCCGCCCCCCTCCCCTTCATTCCCCTGCCGCCCCCCTCCCTTTTATTCCCCCGCCGCCCCCCCTCTAAACCCCCTGCATTCCCCGCCGCCCCCACCCCCCGGCAACACCATTCCAACCATTGAATCCGGAATTTTTTTCACCCAACCCAATCCCGAATTTTTTTTAAAATTCCACAATTACAACACCTATAATACTAGATCTATTAATAGAGTATTAAATCGCAAAATAAAATTACAAATAAAACGAACACAAAATTTATAGGAATCGAAAATTAAAGCATGAATTAAAAAAACGATTCAATGAGAGCAAAAAACACAACTTACCTCGATATATAGCCTACAAAATGCAAAAAATTGATGCCGAAACTCGATTCCGGCAACTCTCCCGGAAAAACCGCTGGTTTCAATGGAGTACGCCAGATATATGGTTCTGTTTGAGAAACATCAACCCGAAACGCGAAAACTTTATTTAACCACGCATTTTCACGTTTCAGAAACGCGAAACTACCTATATCCCAATAATCGCGTTTCAGAAACGTGAAAATAATGCTCTCCCTTTTTTCGCGTTTCAGAAACGCGATTTAGTTTAAAACTGAAAAAAAAAACGTTTAGTGTTTATTTCAATGAAGTACGCCGGATATATGGTTCTGTTTATTTCGGTAATGAATAAACAAATAACTAATTTTCTTACCCTTTAGTGTTTATCAAATAATTAGTACTTTATTCGACATGTATATATATCCTATCACTCTACCACTATAGTAATAATTAGTAATATTACTAAAATGAACTGCGACATTTTTTTTTACAAAAATATTACTAATATAAATTAAAAAAACATCCAAACCAACACACTAACACAAAAATACGAACACTAACAGAATCATCACAACACACGATGTGGAAAATCATCACTACGCATCATCATCATCATCATCAGAATTGATATTAGGCACACCACGAATTCCATATGGATCGTACAGTTTATCAATAGCGGTTCTGTCAGCAGGTGGATGAGAAAAAGGGCATTCCACAGTATCATGATCTAAACTTCCACATCGTGCGCAAACTCTCGCATATGGGCAAGCCCTGGCATTATGTCCTTGTAGCTTACATAAACTGCAAGTTTGGAGTCTTCCCTGGCCAGATTTGCTTGTATAATCCATCACACCTTTTTCCGATTCACACGCTTCCGACCTCGGCCAGCATGGTGGACAAGTTTAGTGTCATTTGGCCTGATCTGCCACGTTGCCTTTGGCCATGGTTCCATGATTGGGTTGAATTCTCCAGAAAACTGCTAGTACCATTGATGCGTAGTGTAACATGGATCAAAAAGTGGGAAGTGATCGTCACCTAGCTCACGGGCAACTCGAAGTGCATGGGAACAAGGAAATCTGAAAGTCTGCCACCTTCCGCAAGTGCACTCTCGATTTGCATACAGCACAACTTGCTTCTCCTCAGCCTTCCATGGTTGATTATCAGGTGCTATTGTAACCACTTCGTAGTCCTGGTTTCTCTTGCTAAACCGGTTGACCTTTTGCCTCAATGATTTCTTCCGGGCCTCTTCATACAATTTCATTGGCTTAGGAGGTAGAACAGTCTGACATTTTTGGATCATATCAATGTTTGCCTGAAACAGATTGTTGCTTTTATGAAAGGATGCTAGGATCAAAGCTGTGATCGGGAAGAATCTAGCACCTTTCAGCACATTATTGAAACTCTCTGAAATGTTAGTGGTCATTTCTCCCCAACGATGCCCTCCATCATGTAAACAGGTCCATTTCTCAACACCCAGCTTCTAAAGCCAACGAGCAGCAGGCTCATTTTTTTCTTCTAATTTTTGCCACTCTGCCAAAAACCTTGTCTTTTGCGTTGCTGAACCAATCATTTGACAGTTGTCTCCCAGTTTCTCCTTTCAAAAATGCCCAACCAAGTTTGCTTTAACATGTTCTAGACAATACCGGTGGACTCCCATCTCTGGGAATTTTTGCAACATGATGTCCATGGCAGTAAGGATGCCCTGATTTCGATCAGAGATAATACAGGTCTTCCTATCCTGTAGAACAAATTTTTCAAATACTTCAAAAACCATTTCCAGCTATGTATAGTCTCTTCGTCCACAAGAGCAAATGCGATGGGAACAATCGCGCCATTTGCGCACTTTACGCATGCCACAATTAGTTTTCCTTTGTAGGATCCTCGCAGGTGAGTGGCATCGATGGTTATTACTGGCCAGCAAGCATGAAATAACTGTATAGATGGCCCAAATGCCAAGAAAACATACCTACATACAAACCTTTGCGAGCTTCCTGAATTTTCCTTAAACTTGAATTGCACACAAGTGTCCGGGTTTGACATGAACAATGTATTGAGGAAGCTGGACAGTTGTTGAAAATTACTTTCCCATGTACCATACAGAGCCTCAAGTGCTTTTCTTCTACCATGCCATGCCTTCTTGTAGCTACATTCGACTTGGTACCTCTTCAAAACTTCTATTTGAATTTGGGCAACTGCAAAATCTGGATGTTTTCGCATATTTTGGGCAACCAGTCTAGCAATCATAGAAGATGTGACGTTTCGGGACTCGTTTCTCTTGTTTGCCCCAAGACAGTTGTGGGAATCGGACCATACCACCATTTTCCAAGTATCGGTGGCCTTTTGTAGCAAAACTCGCGCCTTCCACAGACAATCATAGCCGTGAAGACGCTCTTTCGGATATTTGGGTCCAGACGTCTCGCATTCGACATACCATGTTCGTTTAGAGCTCTTTTTCACCCGGAAAGTCTGACCATGTACCAAGTTCCATTCTCCCACTGCCACTTGTGCCTCAGGCTTGTTGGCGAAATGTATATCAAGGCCTACCGTCAACGGATTGCCATCCCACATTTTAATCCCATCACAATCTACGTCCTCTAAAGTCTTGTCCCATCCAGTTATGACGTCAAAAACATATGAGACTGAAGAAGATGACTCAAAATCAGTGTCGTCATCTGAGTCCTCATCCGATGGGACGTACTCATCATCACTGCTTTCGACATCCCCGCCATCTTCATCTTCATCTGCATCTTCATCTTTATCTTCATCTTCATCTCCATCTTCATTGTCTTCAACTGTTCTACCACCACTAGTGCTGGCACCAATATCCTGGCCAGATGTACTTGCATAAACATGGCCTGTTCTCTCAACATTTTCAGGGTACAATTCTGGCCATTTATCAGCACAAAGATAAATGAACCGAACAATATTATCATCATTAATGTGCACACGAGACCTTTTTCCTAACCTCTCCGTCCATACCAAAGAAAAATCAATATACAGCCCTTCTCTATCAACTTCCATCACACCACATACCTTATCAACAAGTTCCGAGAAATCTAACATACGATCAATGATAAGATAACCGTCCGGCGCATCCCCTGTATCCGTGATAGTCCCATCAGTTCAGTTGTATAAGTAGTACTTCAAGATAATTTCGCATTTAACTGTCTCCGTGAAAGACATTTGCGGCTGCAAAATCAATTCCTACGAAATCGAACACTAGCATACATTTTGAATTTTAGTTCATGGAAATGATTTACCCCGTTTACAGATTTAATAATTTCAAAAGAACAACTATACGCCTGAATTTACAAATTTATTTCTATGCTAAAAGTTAATATAAAATCTAAACCTTATGCCCGAATTACATAATTTATTCTTATGCTAAAAATATTCAAAAATTCAATATCATTATTATCATTTTATTTTATTTTACAGAAATCGATATATAATAATTTACAAAACGCTCATCTAATTTAACATTCTATTAACTAATATTTCTTTCACTTCACTTTATCAGCCTAATTAAAAAATCACCGTTAATTGACTAAATCACAATTATTTATTAACTAATAATAATGCGTAAATCATCCTATGCTCACAATAAGGCATAAAAAAGTACATATTTTCTATAACGAAATTAACTTACCTGAATGTTGAAGGAAATGAGAGCTTTCACGGATTCAGGACTCAAATCAATCTTCTTTAACTTCGGAGCAACTTCTCAAATTGAAGGAAATGAGAGCTTTCACAGATTCAATCAAGTCCTCCGGAGTGAATCTTAAAATCGGACCTGAACAGAATGAACGAAAAAATGCTGTTATTTTGTTTGGTTTGGTATATAAATCTTAAACGCGTTTACAAAACGCGAATACACTCGAAGACATATGATCAAAATACACGTGGAGCCGAATGAGTGGATGAGGAGATTTTCTGGATATTTCGCGATTTCAAAACGCTAGAGAACATTTTTCGCGTTTTCAAAACGCTAAATTGTTATTCTCAAACCGCAATTTATTTAAAATTATAGCTTTCGCATTTTTAAAACACGAAAATAATTTTTCGCGTTTCTGAAACGCTATACCCTTTTTTTGCGTTTCCAAAACGCGAAAAATCATTCTCATTTTTTAATTCAATTTCTTTTCTCCTTTCATCCCGGTTGAATTTTTGGAAAAGATGATTAAAATGATTCGCATTTCACAAACGCGAATTGTTAATCTAATTTTCTTGTTTCGCGTTTTCAAAGCGCGAAAACATATATTTGTCCACAAAATAAACTCTACACATTTTTTGTTCCACACTTTTGGGTTTGGCTCACCCAAAAGTCAAGCACCCGAATTTTAGACCATTCTTCTGTTCTCTCCTTCGGAATCTTACCTTCTTCGTCCAACTCCTGTGCATAGTCACGGTCATAAAAGTCTTCGTTGCCATTAGGCTCTACCTCGTTTTCTTCCTCGTCTTCACCAACTTTCTTCTTTCCTCTAACTTTCTCCAACATTTGAGTAAGAGTATCATCCTCTGAATTGTGTTCTTTCCTCTTCCTCCTACCTTTGGACTTCTCTTTGGGTCTTTTCCTCCCTTTTTTGACAGTTTAGTTGTTTCCTCCTTGTGCTGCCACATTCCTTGTCCCCTGTTTATCATCTATATCTCTTTGAAAACCCTTTTCACCATTTGAGCATTGTCCTACGGCCGGTGAACCATCATCAGTTTGGGCACGATCATCAACTTGCTCTTTACTCCACTGCAACATCTTGCGCTTCTACACTATCAACAAAGGAGGAACACCCTACACTAGCTCGTGCACCATCAAGTATGTATGAACACCCTGCACCAGCTTGTGAACTATCAACTGTTTGTGCAGGATCAGCAACTTGTTCATTATAAACCACGGGAACATCTTGTTCTTCTGCACCATCAGGATTTGATGAACGACCAATGATAGTGTCTAAGCCACATCTTTGTGGTTCCTTCAATATCTCAATTTCAGGAGTTAAATCGTCAATATCTTTATCAATCAAGCTAAAATATTATGTTCTGTTGGCACACTTCTTTTCCCTGTCCACTTAACCTTCTTTCTAGCCCCACGCTTAAATCTTACTTTTTGAGTAGGACTTGCTATCGACAGTTTGATTTCTGCTGGTTGTCGTGGTTCTTCTTAGGTAAGCTGACTGCACATTAATTGATCATCTTCCTCTTCATCTGCATCTTCATTCCTACCATTGTAAACTACAAATAAATCCACCAGCCCTTTCTTTAATCCATGAGCAGCCATGGCGTTGAAGAATTATTATCTTTTAGTAGCCACAGTCCTTCATCCATGTTCTTCCCTGGTTGTAGGTATTAGTAAGAGACCTCAGCAGCAACTAACCCAAGCTTACTAACTGTTTCATCATCCACTTCAATTCTAGACCATTCGTCAGCATCAACAATTGTCCATGGCATGAACATAACCACTTTTGTACTGACTGCCCGGTGGTTTTGTGACAAAACCATTATAATGGATCCTAACTCTGAATTTACCATCTAAAATTGAACAAGAAGTATGTCAATCACTTACAATTTGAAGAAACAAAAATAGTACTCATGAGACATTTTTGGTCCCATACATACTATTCAGATACTTTTAGTCCTAGACAACATGTAAACAACTTTCTTGGTCCCTAATACGTACAAATTATTTACTTTACAAGGAACTTTTTTAAGACAACAAAACAATAAAAGCGGTCAACCCTTCAATATGTCAATATCTTGTATCCCTGATCCACACACTATATTTGCCATATAAACATACAAAAACACGGCAATCGAAGTATTAAAAAGTCATGCCATGACCCTTTTTCCCAAAACCTAGGGTTTCAAATGACAAGTGCAAAAATAATGCAAAAACTACACGTTTTTTAGCAAGAATACAAGTAAAATCGACAAGTTCCCAACATACTTGTCCTACCAGACTAAAAAAATTTCGGCTTTGTTTGTTAGTTTTTTTTTATGATATTTTTAAAATATTTAAATAATAACTGTCTCATTCCTTCATACCTTTTTACATTTCCAATACACCTTTTTACATTCCCAATATAAAAAATACCTAAAAACACACATTAATAAAATGAAACAAACATACCCTTCACCTTTGCAGGACCACTATACGACCTCCCATAAAAGATGCCGACAATTGTGAAAAACTCATATCAAGACCGAGTCTGTATCCAGTATACCCGGGGGCAACGTGCCCCCCTCCTATTTTTTGCATTTTTAGCCCTTATTGTACTTTTTATCAATCTTTCTATAGTTTTTACAAGTATAGTCTCTATAATTTTTTCTCTCTCTTCCAAAAAAAAAAACATCTCTAATCTTTCAACGACCATATCTCATAATCCGTAAAGAATTAGAGAACGTGTTATGCATGAAAATTATAGTACTCGTCGAGATCTATTCAACAAGATCCATTTCAAATATTTTTTTTGAGTTTAAAAATGACTAAATTTTGATGGGCAGAATAAGTTGGATATCCAGTAAGTTGGATAACCAGTATGCACGAGTTGGATAACCAGTATGAACAAAGTAGATAACTAGTTCAAACAATTTGGATAACCATGTAAATCCATTGGATAACCAGCATTAGCGCATTGGATAATCCAATACAAACCAATGATTGGATAACCAATACAAACAAGTTGGATAACCAACTTAGTTTATTATTTTTTAAAAAAATAATAAAAACAAAAACCAGGTTGGATAAATAATACTAATTAGTTGGATAATCTGTCCATCAGAATTAAGTCATTTTTAAGCCCAAAAAAATGTTCACTGTGGATTTCGTTGGATAGATCTCGACGAGTACTATAAATTTCATATATAATTCGTTCACAAATTCTTCACGGATTGGGAGATATGCGCGTTGAAAGATTAGAGTTGGATATGCATACAAACCAAATGGATGGATATTCAGTACAAATAAGTTGGATAACCCGTATGAACAGAATGGATATCCAGTTTAAAAAGATGGATAACCAACTTATTTTACATTCATATTATTCTTTTCCTTGTATCTAATGATTCGTAAAAAATTATAACACGAATTATATATGAAATTTATAGTACTCAACGAGATCTATCCGATTAGATCCATGTTGAATATTTTTTTTGAACTTTAAATGCATTTAAATTTTACGGGCAGAAATGAAGAAATGCATTTAAATTTTGAATATTTTTTTTTGTTTTTCTTTGAAAAATGGTTATCCGTTATGTTCCTACTGATTATCCAACCGGTTTGGACTGATTATCCATTCTATTCATACTTGTTATCCAATCATATGTTTGACATTCACTCTTCAAAAAAAAAAAAAGATGGATAACCACCTCTATTCTTCCCGTCAGAATTAAGTCATTTTTAAGCCTGAAAAAATGTTCACTGTGGATTTCGTTGGATAGATCTTGACGAGTACTATAAATTTCATATATAATTCGTTCACAAATTCTTCACGGATTGGGAGATATGTTCGTTGAAAGATTAGAGTTGGATATGCATGAACACAGTGGATATCCAGTACAAACAAGTTGGATAATCAGCATGAACACAGTGGATAACCAGTATTAGCGCATTGGATAATCAATATGAATACATTGGATAACCAGTTCAAACAATTTGGATAACCATGTAAATCCATTAGATAACCAGTATTAGCGCATTGGATAATCAACATGAATACAGTGGATATCCAGTTTGAGAAGATGGATAACCAACTTATTTTACATTTATATTATTGTGTTCCTTATATCTTTTGATCCGTAAAGAATTATATTACGAATTATATAGGAAATTTATAGTGTTCGACGAGATCTATCCGATATGATCCATGTTGAATATTTTTTTGAACTTTAAATGCATTTAAATTTTACGGGCAGAAATTAAGAAACGTGTTTTTTGTTTTTCTTTGAAAAATGGTTATCCATTGTGTTCATGCTGATTATCCAACCGGTTTGGAGTGATTATCCATTCGGTTCGTACTTGTTATCCAATCATATGTTTGACATTCACTCTTAAAAGAAAAAGATGGATAACCACCTCTATTCTGCCCATCATAATTAAGTCATTTTTAAGCCCGAAAAAATGTTCACTGTGGATTTCGATGGATAGATCTCGACGAGTACTATAAATTTCATGTATAATCCGTTCACAAATTCTTCACGGATTGGGAGATATGCTCATTTAAAGATTAGAGTTGGATATGCATACAAACCAAATGGATGGATATCCAGTACAAACAAGTTGGATAATCAGTATGAACACAGTGGATAACCAGTACAAATAATTTGGATAAGCATGTAAATCCATTGGATAACCAGTATTAGCGCATTGGATAATCAATATGAACACATTGGATATCCAGTTTAAGAAGATGGATTACCAACTTATTTTGAATTAAGAAGTTGGATAACCTAATGGATAAGCAGTAGAAATAAAATGGATAACCAGTTCAAACTGATTGGATAATTAGCATAAACACAATGAATAACCAATTTAGAACAAGTTGGTTATCCATCTTGTAAAACTGGATATCCACCCCTATTCTGTCCATCAGAATTAAGTTATTTTTAAGACCGAAAAAATATTCATTATGGATTTTGTTGGATAGATCTCGATGAGTACTATAAATTTCATATTTAATTCGTTCACAAATTCTTCACGGATTAGGAGATATGCTCGTTGAAAGATTAGAGATGTTTTTTTTTTGGAAAAGAGAGAAAAAATGACAGGGACTATATTTGTAAAATATAGAAAGATTGATAAAAAATACAATAAGAGCTAAAAATGCAAAAAATAGGAGGGGGGCACGGTGCCCCCGGGTATACTGGATAATTTGCCTCAAGACCATTATCCACATGTATCTACGATTTATATAAACCATAGTATCATATTCGGGAATTATTAGAGGAGAAAGCACCTTTATCCTTCTGGGGTTTGTTGCTATTAATATGTTTCTTCGTACGCCTCATCTTCCGGCCAGATCTGTGAAGAATCGTGCGGCAACCGGAAATTCGCGCAACTTAAACCTCTTCTTCTCAATTATTGGGGGATCGTACTAGATTGTGAATTGAGGGACTGTAGTCGTTGAATCGTTCTTGGTTGTGTTCATCGTTCTTTTTCTTCTTTTTTTTTTCCTTTAAAAACTCAAATCGTTCTCGATGAATTTTGGCAAGTGAAAGGGTTATTTCCAATAAAGTGAAAAGGAGTAGTAAGTTAGGGTTTGCTGTAGCAGTCAATAGTCAAATTTGCGGGGGCCCAGGTAAGAAAAATGGCTGGTTAAAGTTTGAGGTGAAAAATATTTTTTAATTTTTAAATTTTCAATTTTGAATTTTGAAATTTTCACTATAGCGGTTAATGGTTATAGTTAAAGTGGGCCTGGGAGTAAAAGGTAAATGGTAAAAGAAATTAATTTGAAACTAATTGACAAATAATTTTTAAAATATTTTTTAATTTTCTATTTTTAATTTTTAATAATATTTTAATAATTTATATTGAATATTTTAATAATTAAATATTTTCTTAGTTAATATAAATAGAGATTTAATGAAAACGCGAAAGTACCCGTGCTTGTGGTGGGGTTAGCTGGTAGCCGAACGGAAATGGTACCGGAATAGTGAAATGAGACTAAAAAAGTTACGGACATTAATGTTTGGGATCAACGCCTCCAAATGTGAATGTATGGGATGAAAATGTTAACTGGATCAAATATATGGGACCAATGTAAGGGTTTACTCAAAGTTTAAATAATTAAAAAAAAGTACGATGACAAATTAATTAGCTCAAGTTGGTGCTCACTACCAGTGTCATGAGCGAGACAACCAATCTTAAAACCCTCGAATTATAAATCTAGGGAAAATATAGTCAACCCATTAAATTTCTGCCAATGTGAGTGGAGATTTCTTGTGTGTTTGGCTTCTCAACACGTATTCTCTATTTGAAAACTTACTAGACCGTTTACAATTTATTCATTAAATATTTATTCATTAATTCATATATCCTCACACTACAACAAAACTATGCTGTAGGAACGCATATATTGGGACGCTTTCATGTTAAGCATCCCAATAAAAGTGTAATAGGACACTCTACAAAATCCGTCCCAACAGTTTTATTTATAGGATGTTTTTAAGTGTTCTTATAGAGCTCTTTAATAGGACACATTGAAACGTCTATTCAGAAAATTAGCGTCCCAATAAGTATTTTTCGGAACGATTTTAAGCATCTCGATAAAATCTTTTAATAGGACCCTTTGAACCGTCCCATTACAAGATAAGCGTCCCAATATATATATATACACACATTTTAAACTATCTATTATAATATTATTATTTAAATAAATTTTCATTAGTCGGGCAGAAGTAAAGATTAGTACATTGAATCATATTCCACCTAACACTATGTTCGAAAGTTTAACATCGACATCATTTTTGCTCCGTAACATTAATTCTTCTAATTTTTAATAATAACCACAGTTCTTATCTCACAAATCAAACCA